ATTGGACTAGATGACCTCCAAGGTCCCTTCCAACTATTATTATTATTATTATTATTATTATTATTATTATTATTATTATTATTATTATTACTACTACTACTACTACTACTACTATTACTATTACTATTACTATTATAACAGGTTCCTTATGTACATAGTAACTTGAGACTGATCAGCACTTCCTATTGCTAATCTAATGCCTCTTGTTTTGGAGGCCATCTAAATCTGGTGCTGGAGAGAAGGGAGAACTGCTTCCTGAAAGCATCTCCCTCTGGTCACAGTAATAACTGATCTATATGGATTCCTGCTCTAAAGCCCCAAAGTGCAATTATGTGACAGTATTTATTTGACATAGGATTGATTTGGCCTCTTAATTTTGCTTTTTTTAGTACATGATCCGGTGCGGATCTCTTACGATCGACCTCGTGGCTATGCATCATATAAAAATAAGAAGGTGAGGCAAAAATGATTCTCTTTTCAGACCGGGATTTTTATATGGCAACTTTTTCCCCAGTAATGCGAAACAGAATGTGCCGTAAAGATTGGGAGAGAATTCTTCTTTTTAATTTTTGTTCCTATTCCGTTACATGTGCTTGTATTTAAGTTCAACGGTCCAGGGGTAGGCAACCTTGGCTCTTTTATGACTCGTGGACTTCAACTCCCAGAATTCCTGAGCCATCCATGGGAGTTGAAGTCCACGAGTCATAAAAGAGCCAAGGTTGCCTACCCCTGGTCTATACAGTACCACATCGCAGAGGTCTCCAACCTTTCTCAGATGGCGGACTGGAGGGAAGGCGGGGGAAGCATTTTATGCATGCGTGCACACACAAACAAGGTTTGAGCACGCGTGACGCAAACGGGGTGCTAGCGCCTATGTGAAACTCTCTAGCACCACCCCGTTTTTGCTGCACAGTGCTCTGTTTTCGCTGTGCAGCGCCCCGTTTGCGTAGTGGCGGCATGAGAGGGGGTGAGCACACGCACGCACTGGCCAGCCTGTTCCGCAGCCCACAGGTTGGGGTACCTGCCATAGTGGATCACAAGTTAGACTTTACATGCTGGAATTGCTCTGCATACAAATAGTCCTTGACTTTATGACTGCAGTTGGGACCAGATTTTATTTTGCCAAGCAGGACAGTTGTTAAATGAGTCGCACCCAATTTTGTGCCAATTTTTTGCCATGCTTCTTAAGCGAATCCGTTTATTTGTAGCGCAATGCAGTTACGACGGCACTTTAAAAAATTACTTAGAACCAGTCCTTGCAATTACAGCCATCACAGCATCTTACTCACAATGCCGTTGTAACGTTGAACAGGTGCTAAACAAATGGTTGTAAGGCTACAGGTAGTCCTCGACTTACAACAGTTCATTTAGCGACCATTCAAAGCTATAGTGGCACTGGAAAAAGCAACCTATGACCATTTTTTCACAGTTACGGCTATTGCAGCATCCCCATGATTTATGTGATCAAAATTCAGACGCTTGGCAACTGGTTCATACTTATGACCATTGCTGTGTCCCCCTTTTGCAACCTACTGACAAGCAAAGTCAATGGGGAAGCCAGATTCACTTTAACAGTCAGGTCACCAACTTATCAGCTTCTGTGATTCACTTAACAACTGTGACAAGGAAGGTCGTAAAATGGGGCAAAACTCATTAACAAAACTTAACAACAGACCTTTTGGGCTCAATTGTCGTAAGTCGAGGACTACCTGTACTTGTATATCCCTGCATAGTTTCCCTGCAGCCAAGTTAGTTGGCATGGAAGAGTTAAAGCTCCCAATAATCACACAGATCAACTCTCCAGTCCCACCTCAGCATTAGTAGTAGCTGTCAGGGTTCCGACAGATGAAACTCTTCAAAGAACTTCGAGGCATTGTTTACCTTAAAGAATCTTTATTTGAGTAGCATAGCATGGGCACTAACATAATTGAAGCCAAAAACTGAATTCCCCTCCCCTGAGCACATAGTATCAAAGCACAATTCCCTCCTCCAGTTAACAGTCAGAAATCACATTCCCCAATTAGTTTAAAGTGGCAGCTGCCAATTCTTTATCATCTCTTATTTCAATAACCTTGGTTCTCAGCTAGATTCAGTGTTATTATGTCTAGCTAGACTTTCATGCACATTACCCCCCTCCTCCCCAGCATCATCTAACTCTAAAAGCAAAAAGAAGAAAATGGCTGCATCTCTATCTGTGGTCAATGCAAAAACATCCGATATTAGCAGCGTTGACAGTACCTATGTATTCTGCCTGACAAGGGAGGGTGGGTGAAGCAAACTCCTTAGAGTTGGAAGGAGCCAGTTTAGCTTCTGTTCACAATGTCATTCTTCCTAGGTACGTGGGGCCTGGGATGTAGTTTCTCAATGATCTTCCGTTGATGGCTTCATTGATCAATGTGCCTTGATAAATGAGGCACAGAAAGGACACTTCGCCAGTTCCTGGACAGTAAAAATACACATTTGAATATCAGCAAAGTAAAGCACTCACGTCTGCATTTAAAATTCAGCAGGCTTACAAAAGAAAACACGAGCGATCTACATGCGCAAGGGAGAAAACATTTTTACACAATTCTTTGGAATAGGAAACACTGGTTTCCAGCCAAAAAAAAAAAAAAAAAACATGGTAAATCATGGTAACAGGAGCGCAGGACGTCGCAAGTGGCCATTCATGCAGGCCAGTTGCTGAATGCCAAAAATACGATCACATGACCACGAGGGGGCGGGCCATCAAAACTTTGAATCCAGGTCGTAAGTAGCCCTGGGGAGGTCCATTGTAAATTCAAATGGCCGCTAAGTGGCTGGTTGTAAGTCAAGGAATACCTGTATGGTTTCTAGGGAGGCTAAAGGAAAGGTATAAAGCAGTGGTGGCAAACCTATGGCACGGGTGCCAGAGGTGGCCCTCAGAGCCCTCTCTGTGGGCACGCGCGCCGTCGCCCCAGTCCTAGGCCTTCAGCTGGGTTTTATAAAACCTTTTCGCTTTAGGTCTTCGCCACCGTGTGCAAAAAAAAAAAAAAAAAGGTTCAATCAGTCAATTTCAACTTCTCGCTGGGAAAAAAAAGATCTTGCAAAGTTGGAATTGATTGATTGAACTTTTTAGTCCCACCCAGTCTGCCTACCACCCTAGCCACGCCCAGCCAATGGGCCATGCCCAGCCAATGGGCCACACCCACCCGGCACCCGATGATGCATAATTGGGTTTTGGGTTGCAGTTTGGGCACTGGGTCTCTAAAAAGTTCACCATCACTGGTATAAAGGGAGCATCACTGCAGATTTGTCTTTAGGTAAGTTTATATTTGAAGGACTGACCGCATCCCTTTGTGACCCGTTTGGTGAATATCAGCTCTCTTTTTTTTTTTCAACATCTGTCATAACGCTTTCAAAATGTGAAAAATGTCCCCATTTCCCCCCCAAGCATTGGGGATCTCTGCTTATGGTTGTGTTTAACATATTGTGTTCCACTCTGTTGAATCTTATTTTTATTTATCAGCAACAGAAAACAAAGGATTTGGAATTCTATAATAAGAGACTAAATGAGAAGAACATTGGCTTCCAAATACTTCAAAAAATGGGTTGGCAAGAAGGGCGTGGCCTCGGGTTACATGGCAAAGGCATCCAGGAACCTGTCAAAGTGTATGTATAAAGGGGCAAGAGAAGCATTTAAGCACTCACTGCATTTGGATTTGACTGTTTTCCAAATGTCCAGTTTCCACTTAACTCCCTAGAATTAATGTTTAAAGCATCTACATTTGTTGCTGCTTATTAAAGAGCTTTTCTAACTCGACATGCAACAAATTCCAAGCTTCTTTGGAGCTCAGGATAAAGGAAATTTTGACTGTCTTAATTAAATTTCCACCCACAAATAGTGGAAATAACCGAATACGTGTTTTGCAATCTGCCTGTGCAATTAAAAAAAAACAACAACCCCATCCCCTTATCCAATTTTTTTGTGACCAGTGATAGTTAGCAACAAACACGGAATACCACCCTTGTATTTTTGTAGCCTGGTGCAAAAAAAAAAAAAAGGAGAAAACAAAGATTTATTTTGCATCCCTGTTGTTCCGTACAGTGTAACATCCAGAATGTTCCAAAGGGATTGATTTATTTCAGTTCAGAAAATATTTCTTTATTTAGTTATTTAGAACATTTATATTGCATCCCATCTTCTGAATCAACTCTGGGTGGCTCTCGCAACATTTAAACTACAAAACTGAACACATTAAAACAACAGCAGCAAAAATGCTTGCTTTGTGTGTGTAGAAGGATTGGCCAGAAGCTATTTTGCCTTCATTGGAGCCCTTTGAATGTAGAATAAACTGCTTATTACTTTATTTCTTTATTTTATCATATTTGCACATTGGTCCAATCACAGGAGGAAATAAAAACATTTCCTGCTATTAGTAAAAAACACTTACAGTATTCAGATAAGCCAGGGGGCATCCCCAATTTTATTAAAGGCCAATGACAGATTGGTATAACCCTTTATGGCCTTCTGGAATGAGGGTTCAGGACCAATATTTCTTGAAGTGGTGCATTCCACGGTATGGAAGCTATTGCTGAAATGATCTGCCATCTGATCATCCTAGTTTGTGTGCGTATTGCACCAATCTGCAAGTGTCTGAGAAATGAACATCCTAAGGTTCAGTAAAAAGCAAGGCCACAAATACAACAATAATAAAAAATAAATGCATCCCATCCAACAAGGTTTATCACAATAAATCCCCACCAAACCTTGTTGTTGCTGTTAATTGTGAAGTCGTGTCGGACCCATTGCTACCCCTGGACAACGTTCCTCCAGGCCTTCCTGTCCTCTACCATCTTCTGGAGTCCATTTAAGTTCACGCCTCCTGCTTCATTGACTCCATCCAGCCACCTCATTCTCTGTCGTCCTTAGCACTATATTTATTATCTATATCCTCAAAAGATAGCCTATACCTCTAAAGCAGAGTTCCCCAACTTTTCTGAATTGGCGGCCCGGGGGGTGGGTGGGATAGAGGGGACGGTTTTCTGGGAGGGGCAGGCACATGCACACATGAGCACCTATTACTCAAGTGGGGCCGAGAGCACTTGTGATGCCTGAGTGGGGCTGAGAGTGCCAGCAGTGCTCACGCGCGTGAGGCCCCAAACGCCCACGACACTCACGAATGGGGCTATGATTGCGCACGCACGCACACACCAGCCAGCCTCTGCTGCAGCCTGGTTGTGAGTAGGCCACGGACCAGTAGTAGGCCGTGCGTGGCCCATAGGTTGGGGACCCCTGCTCTAAGGATCTCTAGAACAGGGTCACCAACCTTTCTGGGTTGGCAGCCCAGTGGGAAAGGGAGGGTCAGATACCTTTAAGCCACTAGTATATATAATGGAAACAAACACCACTCCCTTCTATCGCTGATGATGTTACCTAGTTGGGTAATGAAATGTCTGCAAGAAAACAACGAAGCTCAAAGAGCACCAAGGACCTCCCGCGTCCCAATTAAATACAATACCCCTATTATTTATTTATCTCCGAAATCCACCATCTCCCTGAGCCCCTTCCCAAGTTACCTGTGTACTTCTCATGAGTACTTCTCAGGCATATTTCTTACCTTGTAAGATTCATAAATCCTTGGCAATCTGATTCCTCCAGACCCTTCATTCACTCAGCTCCACCATGACTTCTAGCCACCTCGATCTAATCTCCAGAGATTGTTGCTTGTGTTCCAGTGTGGCTTTTATCACGTTCTCAGCCATTAGCCAGCGCAAGCCATTCCCTGCCTTCTCAGACCTCTGGTGCTGTTGCCATTTCTCTCACATATCTGGTCAGAGACCACGCGTTGATAGGCACAGACCTGGACTTTAATCTTTAGACTGTTGCCTCTGGCCGCTGGTTACGTGTTTTGTAGCTATCTGCCTAAAAAGCAGTGTCGACGAGGATTCCAGGAACTCCGTTTCAGCTCTTTTGACAGATTTTCTCCACTGTCTGTTGCAGGGTTCCCCAACCGTGGCAACTTTAGGATACATGTGCTTCAACTCCGAGAATGACCCAGCCAGCCTGGGATTGGCCTGTTCCTACCAGTCTTGAGTCATCCATTTACTCCAACGTCCTGTCCCCCCCAGTCATTTTCCAGCCTAAACAGCTGCACTTAGTACTTTCACCCTTGCAAATCTTCCCAGTTTCCCTGTTGTGGTCTAACAGTCTAACACTTGTTGTTAATTGCGATGTCGTGTCCGACCCATCGCGACCCCATGGACAACGTTCCTCCAGGCCTTCCTGTCCTCTACCATCTTCTGGAGTCCATTTAAGCTCACGCCTACTGCTTCAGTGACTCCATCCAGCCACCTCATTCTCTGTCGTCCCCTTCTTCTATTGCCCTCAATCTTTCCCAGCATCAGGCTCTTCTCCAGTGAGTCCTTCCTTCTCATTAGGTGGCCAAAGTAC